CCGCATCCTGCGGACTTACTCAGGCTTGGCACAGAGAACAGGATTTTCACATACGTGAACAACATCCAAGAATCGGCATCCCAACAGATTTCCAGCTGTTTGATAAGAACAGCTCCATAAATAAAAGCAATAAAACTATTTGTTCATAACCCAGGTAGGCTGACAGGCTCATGATAATAGTGTAATGCAAACAAGCTGCCATGACAAGTAGGACAGCGCTAAGCATTTCTGAGTGATGGCAATTCTTCCACTGTAAAAATCTGAATGAAAGACAGTGAATTTCAAAACAGTCAAGAAGCAACCCAACTGAGGAAGACTTTTGAAGTATCTTCTGAAAGGTTAATTCCTTGAAGCCCCACCCCCCTCCACTCCACCCCACCCAGGGAGTTAGATGAAAGAAGGGAGTGAGATTGTAAGGCTGTGTCTAGATTAGAGAATGGAATCACAGACAACTGATCAGGTGGGACAGCACCAATGTAAATACCAATGGTGCAGTTTATCCACAGTATGTAGCTATGCTGTGTTGGGTGCAGTTTCGCTATACATCCATACTGTTGCAGTCTAGATATATAAACCCACTTTTCCTGGTGCAGCTCCCTGAAGCAGTGACTTGTGAGAGATTTGAAGACGTTTGGTGCCTAGGGAATTGTGGAAGATGAAATCAAACTCCCAAAGAACCAGCATAACTTATAAGACTTTATCACAAAATGGAAGTCAGGATGAATACTTAAGTTTCCACTGCATGCTCAGTATGAAAGTTTTCTGCGCTGGAGCTTTTAAAAAGTAGCTACAAGGGGTGTAGGGCAGCTATAATGAAGCCCTGAAGGATGTTCCAGCAGCATATGCAGAGAATTTAATCTTGATCCACTTGGTGTTTCTTTACCATTCACAAATACATAGGAATCCTTGGGAATATGAAAGCACAAATGCTTTTAATTTGGGGAAGACACAATAACCAAATGTTTGCATAAAATAAAAGTAACAAATAAAGAGTGTATGAGGAATACAGCTAACCCCAAACTCTTAGTCAAGGGCCAAGAACCCAGTCCTTATTCATTAATCTGATTAGATCTCGTGGTGGCCAAGTGGCTGTTAGGAGACAGCTTTACTCACCTGTCTGCTTCAGTCCATTGAAAGTAACAGCATTAGGTTCTGCTCCACTCCATTGCTAGTCCCATAGGGTTCTAAATCTCTGGGTGTGGGAAACTCCAAGCAGAGAAAGATGCAAAATAGTACCCTAATATCTCAACCAGACTCTCTCAGTAAATCCCCAAAGGGATCCTAAATCCCATATCCATGCACACTTGATCTGGCTCCCCAATCTCATACCCCTGTTGTCCAGATTTAGAGTGGTCCAATTCCCACACTGGACAGGCATTCTCACACTCATCTCCCCTTTCAGGCATCTGCTGACACACAGCAAATATATCAGTTCTGGGATGTGGGGTAAGAGGAAAGTCTGTGGGTAGCAGCATGTTGAGGAGAGTAATATCCATAGGGCCACTACACTCCCTTCCACACTGGTGGCCAGGCAGCAAGCAGGCAGGAATTAATGGAGTCTGGCTCCGCCCCTCCCCAACCACCAGCTTGTAGAGTTGACCCAGTGTGGAGGGGGGAAGTAATCTGCTCAGTATAGGGATGGAGTTGATTACTTCCCTATGAGAGCAAAGAGGGAATCAGGAACCAGATTGGTGCTCTGAGTCATAATCTGGTTCTGGATTTGCTTCTGGAACAGTGCCGCTGCCCCTTATTTGGGGCTTGTGGCAAAGCCAGCACTGAGTCCATTATAGAGTATTATTAACATGTGTAAGAGTGACATCATTCGGTTATAAATAAGTGGCATGCAAGAGGCCTTGAAAAGGAGAGAATATGAGAATATGTGTCCAAATTACAGATATACTACAGAATCACAAAAACAGACTTAAAAAAATAAAGTCAGCGCACTTGAATTAGGTCTTTCTACCAAGGATTTGCACCATTATCTGTCAATACAGCGAAGACTGCAATAATTGTTACGGCTGGCCAATCCTGCACTCCTTACTCACTGAACTCAGCATTTCAACACTCCTGCAACAGACTCAGACTCTCATAGGGCTTGTCTTCACTGCAACATTAACTTGGACTAGCCTGGCTCCCATCCACAAACATAACTCTCCCCCATCAGTGCAACCTGAGATAGCCCATCCATCTTGGGGTAGAGACTTAAGCCTGACTAATAGTCACACACAGGCAACCCACACACTTATAATGAGGACTCAGGCTGAATTGCTCCAGTGTTGATTGCCCTCCAATGCCTTCCCACAATTCCCATCATGTGCCCAGAAGATCAAACAAGTTCTCCCCCAATTCACTGGCAATGAATCAGAACAGCTCAAATAACTGCAGTGCTAAGAACCACTGGATATGACCCCACAAGTGAGTTCTGTATCAGTGTGGATGCTACAACTCCAGTATGGCTTTAAAGTGTGGCTGCTCGCACCTAAATGCCAGTCCCCCAGATTAACTCTGCAGTGAAGGCATGGCCACAGTCAAGTACACATACCACATTCATTGAGTAAATACATCAGCCAAGAGACAGCACAAAGTAATACTTCATCTCTGACATCCCAAATTAAATATATTCTGATGCCAAGTATTAGTTCTAAATTGTTGAAGTATGGAGTAGAATTAGAGTAACCAGACAGCAAGTGTGAAAATTTGGGACAGGGGGTGGCGGGTAATAGGCACCTATATAAAATAAAGTCCCAAATATCAGCTCTGTCCCTACAAAATTGGAACATCTGGTCACCCTAAGTAGAATGGCACTGAAATGCACTCACTGCCTGCAGAGTGCAATGCCTCAGATAGTCGGTGTTTGACCAATTTGACAGTGCCTTCCAATCAACATCTGCACGAAGCATAATCGCTATGCCAACGGCAGTTAAAGAGCTAAGAAATACGTGGGTTTAGGCATTACACCAGGTTACAAACCCAGCCGCTTCACCTCATCCAGTTTAGAAATTGACGTCAATCAATGAAGATAGCTATACTGATTGCTCAAAATAATAAAAGGTGCAAGAAGTTCAGGTAAATGAAAAATGTTTACAATTGCCCACTGAATTCAGAGCAGGTAGGGTTTCTACAATATAAACAATAAACTTGGACTACTGGATCTTTTTTCAGTACAAAGAAAATAAAATCCTGCTGATTTCCCCATGTTTAGGAAAATCTTACCTGACTGTCAATTCTACACAAAAGGCTATATCATGTCATCAATTGAAGTCAATAGTTGCTGAATAACCTGGTAGCTTTATAAGATCCAAAGATTATTCTATGAGGAAAGATTTATTAGTTTAAACTTTATAAATGTTTCCTGACAGAATTGCTATTACATGTAAAAAAGGACAGTAGAAAGCAGCAAGATTTATCATTCATTTCATCTCATGAAAAATGTCATTTCTTTAGATCTGCAAAAAGAAAAGGAGTACTTGTGGCACCTTAGAGACTAACCAATTTATTTGAGCATAAGCTTTCATGAGCTACTGCTCACTTCATCGGATGCATGCCGTGGAAAATATAGTGGGGAGATTTTATCTACACAGAGAACATGAAACAATGGGTATTACCATACACACTGTAACAAGAGTGATCAGGTAAGGTGAGCTATTACCAGCAGGAGAGAAAAAAACCTTTTGTAGTGATAATCAAGATGGGCCATTTCCAGCAGTTGGAGTCTGAATGAGAGACTGTAAATTAATTCCAATTCAGCAAACTGGACAGCATTACATTAGGCTTGAATAAAGACTGGGAGTGGATGGGTCAGTACACAAAGTAAAACTATTTCCCCATGTTTATTTCCCCCCCACCCCCGCCACGCTCTGTTCCTCACACGTTCTTGTCAACTGCTGGAAATGGCCCACCTTGAAAATCACCACAAAAGTCCCCCCCCCCCCGCTGGTAATAGGTCACCTTACCTGATCACTCTTGTAACACCCATTGTTTCATGTTCTCTGTATATAAAATCTCTCCACTGTATTTTCCACTGAATGCATCCGATGAAGTGAGCTGTAGCTCACAAAAGCTTATGCTCGAATAAATTTGTTAGTCTCTAAGGTGCCACAAGTACTCCTTTTCTTTTTGCGGATACAGACTAACACGGCTGCTACTCTGAATCCTGCTTTAGATCTGTAACAGCAGGAACAAGTAGCATGCAATCAAAGGAAAACTTGGTGAAGGGGGGAGGAGGGGAAAGAGATAAGAGCATAAAAAGAGGATCCTAATAAATTGTTCTAAACAATGTGTTAATACAAATCAGGGATGTATCTGATGTCCACCAATACTGTCAGCCAGACTAGCTGCTGCCCTTAGCAGAATGCCCAGCATTTCTCAGGGAATGTTCTGACAGAACACAGAATGGAAATGACAATACAGTGGGTTTTTATTAGCATCCGAGACTTGGAATGTTCAACTGATTCCAATAACACAGATCCCTACAAAGCTGGGGAAAGGAGCATTACAAAAAAAACCCCAGGCATGACCATGAAAAGGTAAAGAGGGAAGTGAAGAGGGAAGGAATGGGGGCGGGGGAGAGAGAGGATTTATTCTCCTTGTGCCTTCCTTCACAGCTACTGAAAGTGGATGCTGCTCAGAGTGAATGAAAGCTGGGGAGGGGAGGAGGGAGAAGAGAGAAAAAAAAGTGTCATCACCCCACTCCCTTTAGGACGCCGGGGAACACACAATCCTATAAAAGGTGCCTCAGCTCCTGATCCCCTTCAGCAAAGCAGAGAGAGAGAGCTGGCTGCACAGAGAGGGAAGGGGACGGCGTGTACTACTCACAAGCAGCAGCTCTCCTGGTCCAGCGAGTGTAGCATCCTTCTATAGTTCAAGCAGCATAACCACATGTGGTGTTGCTCAAGCCTGCTCTGATCCCTCTCTCACTTCCACTGAGTGAGTCTCATTTTGTTGATCAACTGTCTTATTTTTGGGTGGGGTGGGAGGGGAAGTGGGGGGAAGACTTTCATATTGCTGGGACAAGGGGGGACATTCAAGATGACTTCTATACCTGCATCCAGCTGGAGTGCAAATGAGAGCAGCGGCTGGAACACAAGCTTCTCTGGATCAGGAGGCAACTGGGGGCAGCCTCTGGGAGCTCAGGCTGGTAACATCTCCTCCCCGTTAGCACCTGCAACAGCTAACTTCTCCAATCAATTTGTGCAGCCCTCCTGGCGCATTGCCCTGTGGTCTCTGGCTTATGGTGGGGTGGTGGCCGTGGCCGTCTTTGGCAACTTGATTGTCATCTGGATCATCTTGGCTCACAAGCGTATGAGGACAGTGACTAACTATTTCCTGGTGAACCTGGCCTTCTCGGATGCCTCCATGGCTGCTTTCAACACCGTCATCAACTTTATCTATGCCCTGCACAGCGAGTGGTACTTTGGGGAGGCTTACTGCCGCTTCCACAACTTCTTCCCCATCACTGCGGTCTTCGCCAGCATCTACTCCATGACGGCGATTGCCGTGGACAGGTGAGAGAAGGGTGGGGACAGGTGAAGATGATGGGGTGGAGACAGAATCTCTCTGCTGAAAAATCCCTGAGAGAGAAAGCCAAATAGGTGAGGGGGTTGAGTGATGAACACTGTACCCAAAGTGCTCTGTGTGGAAATCCTGCTGCAGTCCTTGTGTCTGTTAGACAGATCATCACTGACACTCCACTGTGCCTTTTCAAGATCCTTCCCTAATGCTCATTTTAACTTTTTTTTCCCCCTCTGTCTGATTTACCTCTCAGTCTCTCTCTCCTTGTCATCTTTTATTTCTGCTCCCTTAGTCTCTTTCTTTCACATTCTTTTCCTGTGTGATGACTTCAGCAGCTGTCTTTGCTCCCATCCTTTCAATAATGATTGTGCTATGCCAGCACCTGCTCTGGGTGTGCTCTTGACCAAGGAAGATGCTCCGTCCATACAGTCCATGCCATTGTGCTACACCCCGCTGCTGGAGAGTCTATACTAATGGTGTGATTAGAGGAAGCATTTCAAATTTCCCTCTTTATTTCTGCAGCTGGCAGCCACTGAGGAGGACACATCCGAGAGAAGCATCTACCTCTGAGGTCCCTTCCAACCCTGATATTCTATGAATTGTAGTTTACTTCCTCAGCAGAGGGACAGCAACCTCACACTCTGTCAGTAACTCCCCTAGTAGGAAGCTTCTTTCAGCTTTGCCCCTCCTGATCTTAGCTAATGAAAATATTTACATTGTCATTTGTGTAAGCCAGTAAGTGTGGCTACAGGAGGTATTATGTTTTTAATAAAGTATATGATTTCCTTTTCAATAATCAGAGCAAGGAAGGCTGTGATCATGAGAGAAAATAGAATAGGGACAAAACTTCATCCTGGTGTTCTTGATGCTAGTGGGATAGGAATGATACAGAGGTTCCTATTGACGACACCATCAAATCTCACAAAAATGTTTCACTAGATTGTTCCCTGACTCTTGCAAGATCAGTCTGTGGCTCTCCCTTAGGAAGTGCTCCCTTCTTCCTGATCACTTTCACATACACTATATTGAAAGGGAGACTCAGCACTTCCTTCATGAGCCTAAGCAATTTAGTTTACATTCAGAAAAATTGGTAGCTTTAAGATGCAGATCTGCAGCAATAGGTAGTGTAGTTATTTCTAAGACTCTTTACTACGTGTTTGTTATTGCAGTGCATTTATAACTTTTTAAATGCAAGAGAGTACATAAGCTATTAAAACCATGTTCTGTAGTTTTGCTCACTTAACTTGCTAGAAAATCTGAAACTTTGGGGTGAGAATTTTTAAAAAGGTTCAATCATATGAAGCTTTAAAAACAAGTGCAAAGACAGCAGCAGCATTCCTACAGAGCAGACGATCATAATACTTCTTTGTGAGTTCTACTAAATTGTAAGTCTGAAGGCTGAATTCTCAGCTGCAAGAACTCATGCTAGGTACGGCTGACAGAAGAGTGATTCTAAGCCACCTTTCCACTTCCTCTGCTCCTGGGGCTAGTGAGGGCCATTCTACCAGCCCCAAATTGTAAGAGTACACTGTGCTCTGACTTCACTCCTGCTACCAACTCACTTTACCTCACCTCCAACACACACCCCTCTGCTGAAGGGGACATAGAACAGATGGAATAAAGCCAGGTGTGCCATCCTTATGAAGGCTGAGGATTCCCCAGCTGCCCATTTAGGGCTAATTTAATGTCCTCAGTACTCCAAAGAGTCTTTAGTGGGTACTGAGGATCTGGCCCTAAGATTTTATTCATATTGATCCAGATGCCTTGTCTGCATTTTTTGTGAGAAAAAAATTGAGATATTGCATTACACCAAATATTGCTGATTATTCTAGGAGATTGGAATCAAAGATGAAGTTGTCCTGTGTTACAAAGCCCCCAAGGAAGAGAGATAGGTGTATTTCTAGAATGAGTGAAAAAAAAACACCTGTCCTGCTCCCTGCTCCACACTGCCTAAAGCATACATGATGGACCTAAAACGTATCTGAAATGTTTGGCTTGGTTTTAACAGGTTGAAAGGCACACAGTGTTAGAAATTCGTTAGGTGCCATTCTTTCCTCCAACTTATTTCTGAGAACAAGTGACTGGGCTCAGAGATCAGAATGGGGGCTGTCAACAGAAGACATCTCCCTCCTTCACAGGAACCTGCACCCAGAAAAAACACACAGTCTTCCCTTGGTGGAAGGAGGCGTGCAATCAACTGTTCAATGAGTCCTTTTGTTGCCCAGTAAAAAACAAATATTCAGCTCTCTGCAGGGTTTATCAAAAAAGACAAAAATCTCCTCCTTCTGAGGCTCAAGCAGGAGAGCTGCAGCCACTGCTGCCTTCTTTTATACCTAAACAGCTGGGCCAGACACCCAAATGCACATGCTTCATATCTTTTAACCCTTCCCCACCTGCTTCTACAGCACATCCCTGCAGACTCATAAGGAAACAGTTTAGCTGGGAATCCCAAGGAGGATCCAAGGCCCAACCCCTCATAGAACCCAGATAGGTAGCATGTCCTTCACAGGACACTGTTCTCAAAGAGGTCACTTCCTAGAGAAGAGATATAATGCTGGATTCCTGCTTGCTTTCATGAAAGATCTCATACTTACTGTCAGAGCCAGGATGTTGCTTCTGGTATCTTGGTCAAGTTTTAACTCCAGCAATTAAATTCTGCCAATCTAAATACCACCAACTTCATCAATTGGATATGTTATATTCTTCACTTCCTGTCTTAAATTGATGTGTAAGTGCTGTTAAACAGGTGTCACATTCCACATTGGACACGTATGCATTTCAGCAGTGGGTGAAGTGATCTGTTTCTCATGCCTACCTCACAGAGGTGCTGTGCTAGTTCATTACTGTCTGTTATATACTTGATTTTGCCACATGAAAGGCACTATAGAAATGCAAATGTTACTTTATGGCTATTTTATTTATAAATCACTTCCATGTAGTGTGCCAGGGCACTTAGGAAACAGCACTGAAATAAAATACAATATAATTAGCATGTCAAGAAAACAATGTTAAAAAAATATTTAAGAACCATATGCCAATGCATCAAATTTAAAACACTGGGGGGAAATGCTACCCAAGGACTGACATTAAACAAACAGCTTCTTTTGCAGAAGTGTATATGTCCCATATGACTAGAAGCTATTAAAATCAAGGTTCTGAGACTCAAAAATGCATACCTGTAACTAAGTTTTATTGATTGTATGCATTAGTATCCACAGGATATTCTTCACTGTCCCAGGTGTCATTAACTACCAAGAAGGGCATTGATCAAAGTCTCAAGTGATGTGGATTTCCTTCAGTATTTCTAGGACTCTCTGTTGAGTGACTAAGTCAAGTTCTTGGATGGATGTGCTTTATCAATACTGTGTTCAGTATGAAGTCACTGGAACCCACATAGGCCATCCCAGACTAAGGTGATCTCCTCAATGAAGCTGATAGTTCATTGCAGCAAGGAGGTGCCGAGTTCAGAAGTTGAGGAGGAAGACATTTTGGGTTAATGAAGTTATTCACAGTCCAAAGTGTAAATTTAGCAGCCTCTAACAGAGAAGACGTAAAACATCTAGTTTTCTCCCACAGCCATCATGTAGGCTTGTAAGGAGGCTGTGTGTTGAAGTCTGACTTTATTTGCTGTTTCCCACTACCAGTTTTCATTTCTACTTGCCCTCTTTCAGGTTGGGGAGGAAAAACTCTGAGGTTCCAAGAGTAAAGCAGTAAGGGGATGCTCTGGTACCAGGCCTAGTGAATGATCATAATAATTCTAATCTTTGGGTCTAATGACCAATGGCCCCATTCCACCAGCTACACTGATCTCAGCATAGAGGAGGAGATGGTGGTGTGGTCATGCTGGAAGGGTTGGGTAGTTTAATACGTGTGTTCCCTATACCCATTTCCAGTCTAGAAAAATCAGGCTTACCCTATGAACTACTATGTGTTTAGGCCTTGAAATTAACTGTGACAATACTAGTGAAAATGGGTAGGTTTTGGAACATAGCACCACAGACATTGTCAGCATGGATGTTGAAGACTCCCAGGATAAAAAGCTTTGGGTATTTTATGTGCATAATGAAAGGTAGCATCTCGGTTTTAATTTCTTTCTTTTCGTGTGTATTTATACTATTAACACACCCTAAAAAAAAAAATCACAACTAACATACTGTTAGCATTTCCATAATAATTCTCTCACTTTTTCCAAGATTCATAAACACATTAGTATGTAAGGAGTCACCAGATAGCAATGTTACACATATTAGAAGTCCTTTTTCCTAGTCTGCAAAGAAGTTTTTGCTCTTTGAAGAAATGCCATATTGTTATTAGCTTTTTATATGCAGTAGTCCTTGGAGGAAGCTGTGGCAGATAGAGAGTGCTCACTGGATTTGGAGTAGCTTTCCAGGAACCAAGTGCTGGAGTATAGGCTAAGATTTCTGAAGAGTGATTTGCTTGTGTGCTATTTGTGATGCCTCTGTTCCAGGATATATATGTGTGTGTGTGTGTCTATACACACACACACCGCAAGTTACATTTAGGATATAGACTTACTCTGTATCACTCATTTCTCCTTCACTTGAAAACCAACATGCAAGGTCCCAGAATTTGCTACTACTCAGCAGAGGGCCAACACTGGCATCAGAAGCAGGACACTGGTATTGGAAAGAGAGGGTGTATGTGTGTGTATATATATATATATAAAAACTTTTTTCCTACCTTATTCATATTTCTGATAAAGCAAAACAATACCTCCAGAGAAATGAATGCACAAAATTTGACATAAGTATCTTAACTTACATTCTGAATTTCCTCGTCTGGAGATTCAGGTTTCTATTTTGTATTTAACTCATACCATCGTGCCTACATATGAAGAGGTTCACTCACCACAAGAGCACTTCCTCATGGGCAGGTGTGGCATAGCAGCTCTCTCCCCATATGGCATCCCCTGCTGACAGTTGTTCCATTACCGCAGTGGTCTCTCTCCCCAAAATTCAGCCCTCCAGACCAG